CTTGTTTCCCTTGTTCTTCTAGCACTTCGTAGCACATAACATTGTTTTTTGTAAAGTATTTGATCTCTTATAGAAATCAAAGCTCTTCAAGGGCACGTTTGATTTAATTTACTTAACTGCCTTGGTGAACTAGAATAGTACCTGCACATAGTAGGTGCTCAAATATTTATTGACTAACCAAAAAGAAAAAGAAAAAAAAAGACCCTAAAACTGAAATATATTTTAACACTTTTATTCTTAAAAAAATCACAAAATTCAATTTTAGGTTAAATAATATTGTAGTCTTAAAAAATTAACAAAAGAGGAAGCACTTAAAGTTCTGTTTTACCTCGAAAAATGCATTCCCGATTTCCAGTTAACTCATGCAAAATCATGTGTAGTGATACTCAACGAAAGGACCTTGTAACCAGTAGTACAAATTGGATTATATTTGAGTTGAAGTAATTCTGATCCCCAAATGTCATTTTGAAAGATTTCTGAAAAGATCTTGAAGCCACAAAGTTTATTTGAAAACATAGTTTAAAATTGCACAAATATAAATACAATTTAATAATGTGAAGAGGAACGCATGCTTCCAATAATAGTACAAAAATACTACCTTAATCTTGATACTTTGTATATTATAAGCCAACTGAATAAATTAAAGACATCAATATAGTAGATTATTTTTATGGTGGTAATTTTATTTCAAAGAGCAACACAGAGAACTACTAAGAAGAAGCCTTAATACCCAACAGAGTTGTGCTATGATACATAATATTTCACCAAATACACAGACATATTACCACATAGTATGCCAGTAACTTTTACACCCCGCCCCCTGCATTGCCGTTAATTTACTATGGGTCACTTAATTTGCGGTATTAATGTAGAAACTCAATGTAAACATTTAAGTTAAATTCCTGTTTGATATCTATTTTAGCTTAAAAATGAAATTGTGAGATTTTAAACAATTACTGAGCATAATAAGGAAGCATCACAGAAGAATGTCTCAAAACAATATTTTTAGGTTAGACTAGATATACAGTATTCATAGATATACAAAATATATAGAAATGTCTTTTCTAAATAGTTAATAAATGCTTGTTATAGTTTGTAAAAAGTTTATTAAATTAATCGGGTTTTCTTCAACCAATGTAAACAAATTTGGGCAATGAAAATTGAAGAGGGTTAGGGTTAGGCAGGATGGGGAAAATCGAAAGGAGGTTGGTTAAACTTTAGGCTGTATCTCCTCTAACGGCTGGACCCCTTTCCAGCCACGAACGCGTGCTCACACGGCGCGATTTCCCTGTGGTGTCTGTGTGCACGTTTTCTGTGCCTCAGTGAACACGCCTCACAGTCTGGTTGAGCGTGTCTGTCCCCTGTGCCTTTTCATGTCATACCATTTCCCTCTCCAAGAGACTCAAAAGAAAAAAAAAGCACGTTTTATGGTTAAGCAAACTGTCCTTTTTTTCCATCTTAATAGTACTTTGAGTGCAGCTTTCTAAAAGGGTCCCACTGAGCCATTCGGGGCTTTGCTAGGGACACTGTCACACTGTGAGTTAGCGCTCTGTCATAGAGAAACCTGTTCTGAGTCCGGGGCCTGTGTTTGTAGAGTGTCATTTGGTCATTCTGTGAAGGCTGCAAGTAGTGGAAACTTCACTCAAGGCAAAATACCACGTGTGAGTTTGTTACACCTCACACTTCAATTTTCTCCTCTTAACTCTAATGCCTCCACACGAGGGTTTTGGCTGTGTTTGGGGGTTCTGTCTCCGAGCTCGAATGTGTGGGTAGGGGGTGTGGGGGTGTGAAATGGTGACAACTGCTCAATGGTTCAAGAGCCTCTACTGCCTTCCTGAGCTTTGCTCCCTGCAATTCTGGTTTCCTTGTCCTCATTTTTTTCACACAGCAGGGATGACAAAAAAAGGCAGTGAGAAGACTTCAGAGTTGGTCTGAGTGACCCCAAAATCACCTCGTCACCCCCGAACTGCAGCGTTTTTAGACACATTGACCAAGTCCAGCTTCTTCAGGGATGTGGACTCGAGTAGCTGGCCTACCATATGAACGGGGCCGTGTCGAGGGCAAGGGGCGACATCCACACACCAGCTGCGTGACACTTGTGGATATTAAGGCTCCATGTTCACTTCGCCTTGTAGTGGTTTTCATGTGCCTGACATTACCCTGACCCCTCACCTTATTCGGAATGTATTTCTCATTCCTAAACTTTCAGGAAACAATTTGAAATGCACTATTCAGCATTTAGAACCCAAAGCTGAGCTGAAGCAGTCAACACGATTGTGTTTAGGAGCTTTCAGATACATGGATTTTGCTTAAGTTTTACATCTGTTTGCCTTCACTGGTTGTTAAAAGTCATTTGGATGGCCCAGTACCTGGATTCCTCAGAGGATTAGTTTGGTACTGGCTGCAACTCTGCTCAGACAGACACGTGAATATCTGTTCAGTTTGGTGTGATGGCCTGTAAACAATCTCAAGGACAGGATATTAAAAACAAACACAAAACCCATAACACAAAGGTCATGACAATGCTTCCTTGTTCAGGAGCAAGGGAAAATAAGCTAACCTATAAAACTTAATCATGCTCTGGGTAAATTTACATTCAGTAAAGTTATGTTGCATGCTTTGGTTAATAATTTAAGTAGGCAGATTTGCAAGTACTAATGCATGCATTATTTTTGTACCTGAGGTTAAATGTTTTATTTTTTAAAAATTCCCTTTTTACAAACCTTATGCCAGAGTTCATCTCCCAACACTCTTCAAAAAAAATATGTATCTACTTCTTAGTTCAAAACAGTTTATAGTTCAACCAGTTCTGTAAATACTGAGAAGATAAACTGTGTAGCAAAATCTAGAGAGGGAATGAACTTGACATTATTTTACAAAGTTAAAATGATGTATGTGCATTAAATTACATATGTGCAATAGTTTCTACAATAGGAGGCCTGAAAAAGATGGCACACGAATTAAGCCTTCAGAATACCCTGTTTCTAGAATGCTTTCAGAAGCATTTCAAGGCAGAATTGAACAGCAACAACCCAGTGAAAGTATAGCCCACTCCTGTGGAACTGATTCAGGGACAAATGGAGAAAGGACACAAAAAGACCATCTTCCTTTTTATATTCCCAAGGAGCTCACAAAGTTTATGGTAAATAGTTTGGGAGCTCCTGTTACAAGTGGGACTAGGACAATTGTGTTTAAGTTTTGCTTGTGTAGCAAGAATATATTACAAAGATTTATCTAGTTAGGAGTATCTAAACATGGACCCTAAATTCAACACACTAGCTCTCTTTAAAGAAAAAGAATGAAGAAATGGCATAAAACTGTGAAAGTAAGTGTGTCCTGGACATGCCAACACAGCTCAATATCATTAATTTGCTGTTTTAGTTGAAACTCTGGTTGAGAAAGCACAGCTGACAGTTTTCTATGGAAGTGTCTTTGTGGACAAGAGCTGCCTTTCTTTCAGGGAGTCACCGGGAGTGATCTTGGGAAAAATCGAAGGGAATGATGACTCAATGAGCAGCCCAGCAGGTAAATGCTTTACTCCTTCCCCCTCTTCTCTGTGCCTCCAGCTCCTCCTCGCGTCAGGGTGTGCGGCACAGATAGCCCACTGCACACAGACATAATGCATTTGGAATTCAGCGATGGTTGCTGGCCTTCTCTGCATTTTCATTGAGTCTCCTGGTGAAATCAGGCCTTGAAAGTCACATCTATGCAACTGAGTGGCCACTCTTGTAAAATTGTATTATCCTTTGGAGATCCTGGGCTGTCACTGAGTAATAAAAAGAAAAAAGAAACTGAAAGCCTTCCCAGAGTGCCTCAGAGGGAACCAGGGTCATTCTACTCTTCCAAATGAAAAGGGTCATATAAATGACAATTTTATTCCATGACAATAAGATACCAAAAAAGTTTTGCCTTAAAAAATGTGTATTCAATTAAAAAAAGATGTATGCAATAAAGACTTCTAAAATTTTGCTACTTAATTTGGGTGGTGCTCTGATTTGCTTTTTAGTAACTGTTTTAAATTAATTTTATTAAAAATATCATTGAAAAATGTCCCGGGCAATAATTCTACACTTCTTAACAGGGAACAGCTTATGAAATTTTTAGTTCTGATGGATACTAGATATATCCGAGAAAGTCCTCCCAAATGCTCTGCAAATTACCAAATTATGATGAGAACAGAAAACTGTTTACTCTCCCCTAAAACAACTCCTTTGAGTTTGAGTTGCTTTGTATTCAAAGAGCAAATTGAAATAGGCCCCGAATCTGCCACCACTTGGCAACCATCGAGTTACATCAAAGTATTGCATATCCACTCCACTGGCAGACATTAAATTGTTACCGATCTCATGTGCATAGGGGCTGCAGAGCTAAGAATGCAGCCTGTAATTATTACTGGGAATTCAGTTACTGTTGAAAGTATAGAACGGTATCACACACAGAACGTTTGTAAAAGTTGCTTTGTAATGGATGTGAGTCAGCTGGCCAGCGGAATGAATGTCCAGAGATGGGGAGGAGGCAGCAGCAGGCCGAGAAGGGGCGCTGTTCCATCAGGGACACTCAAACAGGCAGCTACCACTGGTTGGAGGCTGGCCCTAAGAGTCCTTCCCTGGCCAAGTTTCTAGGATTCTAAAATTGTCAAGAATATCATTCTTGCAAATATCGCTGAGCTCTAGGGAAGCAGGTGGTGACTGCGGAGTCACCACTGCCTGGCGGTGAGTGCCTTACGGCCTCTCTCTCCTGATGACCGTCCAGGTGGAGGCTCACTGGCCCAGGTGAGCTTCAACAGAGAGTGTCCAAGCTTGTGCCTCAGCGCCCGAGACTCTTTGCAGGGGGTGGGGTCCAGCCTTGTGGTGTCTGGGCCACACAGGAAGAAGAGTTGTCTTGGGCCAAACATTAAATACACAAACACGAATGAAAACAAAAACATCTCACAATGTTTTAAGTAAATTTACAATTTTGTGTTGGGCCATATTCATAGCCATCCTGGGCCACATGTGGCCTGTGGGCCACAGGTTGGACACCCTATATGTGTAAGCCTCAAGGATTTGTCATTTCATGTTCACCTGAGACCACTCCCCATGTCAAGAATCTCGAATGTAACAGAGGGGACAACTTCCACCTGCACCTCTGGTTCAGGGTGGGCGTGGATCCCCTCTCACAAAAAGAAGCTCACTCCCCCATCAACTCCACTGTCTTCATGTATATGCTGTTTTGCTTGGTAGCTGTAGTCGTTAGTATAACCACCCATTACTGACCAAAGAATGTGAAGAAAGCTGGGATCGGAGTGCCCTGGGCAAGACTTGGAGAAAGGAAGGAGACAAACTGAAGAGGAATGAGAAAACTTACTGGGGCAAATTACCAGAATTGGGCATTGGTGAAACTATATTGTGGGCAGCATTTTACAAACAACTTTTCTAATCCTTTAAAAAATTATGTCTGTCCAAACCATCACTAAGCCCCCAACAAGCACAAAACACTCCGAAGAACCGAGTGGAATGTAATTAATGAAATAAAACACCACTGCTAACAGGAAGTCCTGGTAAGTTGATAAATGTTCCAAACGAGCCCTAGGGCCACACGTCTTTCCGAGGAAACCTCTGCCATTCAGTGGGATTCAGCTGGAAAATACTGATCTCTCTCACTTAGAATGCAAAAGGGTGAGCGATGCAGATTATTATAGAACTAAGAAAACACAATCGTTAGGACGCGTGTGTTTATCACTCCTAAGAAATACTATTTAAAATGCTAGCAGTTTAAAAGGAATATCAGTGTGCAGAACAGCTAGTGAGCGAGGAAAATATGATATTTAAACAAGTTAATGTTAACTCAGTAGAAATCATGATATCATCACACGTTTGCCCTGCAGACAATGCATGAAGACACAGTATCTTATCTCCTGCTTAAATTCACACAGTCCCAGACAGCATGTGAATAAGGTCTGTGTTTGCATATTTATACCCTACGTCATACCTGCTTTTAAGAAAAACACTCCTTCAAAATCCTACCCTGTGAAAAAACTATTTTCAGGAATTTTTATTTGGTCCACTGATCTAACAAGGCTGAGTTCTCAAATCTTTTACCCCAAAGTTAAAAATTGGAGCAACAAAACAAAACTCCAGCAAGGCATAAATAAGATATTAAAGTGCATATATACAGTCCCCAAAAAGTTTTGATTGGGAACAGCAAAAGTTTCTAGTGCAAAAACTGCTTTTGACAGCAAAGCCTCTCTGGAATCAAAAAGCTACAGTAGAAGTTAAAATTGGAATAGGTTTAAGCAATGCCTCTCTTTAGTTAATATTTGTGCATGCACGTTGGCCCAGACTATGTTCAGTCTTTCTGAAAGGGGGAATTTCAGAGGACAGTTCAGAAATAGTTGGAATTCCCTGATCTGAGGCAGTGTTTTCTCCAGGTGTCCCATGAGCACGTTCCTTAGATGTGTCATCAGCTACCAGTGGGGACAAAAACCCGAAGATGTTTTGAGATAAGCTTGCAACTTGTGAAAAGAGTATTCACATAGTCACTTAATCTCGGTTTGTCTTGAGCCTCTTCATTCTTCTTTCGAGCCTGACCTTGACTCTCTAGACAACATGTTGTGCTTTTGGATCTAAACAGAGCCTGGGCATTGTCTGTGGGAATTCCCTTGGGTTTTATCACCACGGCATTTTGAACGTCTGGTTTCACCTTTTTGGAATGAAAAATTAAATAGGTTTGCGTTTCTCAGTGATGTATACAGGCAAAGGGTTATTGTTATTATTTTCCTTTTCCTTCAAGGATCCAAGTTGAAAGCTCTCAGGAGGACGTCCAAGTCACCGAGATTAGCCGCCTGGAAGAGTTCTGGTTGGTCCATCAGAGAGAGCGCGATTCGGAGGGCAGACCAGATGTTCCCAGAGATGGCAGGATGGGGAACTTGCTGTTGATTCCGGCTCTTTCTCTGCAGACTGAGGGCAGTGAGAAAATTGCTGACTGCTTCTCTAAGAGGGGAGAAAAAGAGACACTTGAGCATATGGCACGTTTCAAAAAGAGCAAACAAGACAATAATAATGGATGAAGTTATTTTAGTCTAAAACCCCAAACCACCTTTCTATGGTGTCTTGGGTCATCAGAGGAACAACTTTCTGATTCTGTCATGATTCTTCCATGAAAAGTCATTGTTAAATGTAGTGAAATTGGAAAGAAGAGAGCAAAGCAATTTTTATTTTAGGAATGTCATGTGGGAGAGGAAGAATAATGACCAAACCATTGCTCACTCTTTAATGCATTCACTTTTCCCCTACCGCAGGAGTGATGTGAAGATGTAATCCGTTTGCAGATGTGGTTTATGTAACGAGGGTTGAAAGGAAGCATCTGGCCTCACTCAAAGTAAGTGGCCTGACTTTTCCTATTGGCGGTGGAAAGAGGCAACGCAGCGGGGTTCAGCTGAGTTTGTCATCAGAGCCCCAAGGCTGGAATCCTTAGGTTTAAAGCACTGAGTACACAAAGCAAAGTTTATCCTTGGATTATTTTTGTTAGTTGAATTGTTAACTTTTCAATTATTTTCCATAGAAACAGCTGTAAACCTACTTTTGCACCACTCTGTGTTACTGTCAAGGAGGATGAGATTTCTTTTTTCATTAAGAAGGGGCCCTCACTTTTGACACGGTTAAGATTCATTGGTCTAAGCTTCACGCTGGAGCTCCGACGGACAGCAGGGCAGTGTTTGCAGCTGTACCCAAGTTTTGGGCCAACAATGTCCGCTCCTTATTTCAACTGTATGCAGTACTAGGGTAGGGCTTGACCCTGATGCTTTATGGAAAGTGTAGATGACACGGTGAGTGTTACAGCTCATACGCACTCGCCTGCAGCTCTTGGGCGAGAGGTCCCAGACTTCGGTGGGTACTGAAGTATTTGTACCAGCTCCTGGCTCTCTTCCAAGTCACATTTCTATTGAGGGTCGTTATTCATATGCACTTGTTTACACCTCAAGTTAAACTTATTTTCAGAATTCATTTAAGGTTTAGGTCTTACTTGGTCTCTTTTTGTCAGGAAAAAAATGCAAGGTGTTTATCACATCACAAGGTTTCCCATACCCAGCATGACAGTTTAAGGCCTACCAGGCTTAGCCGAGATGTTCCAAAGTTGCCATTTGATCCAGATGGACAGATTTAGTCCCAAAGGATACAGGATGCACAGACACATTTGCGTTTCAGATAAAAAACAAATGATTTTCAGGATAAGTATGCCCCATGCAAAGTATGCCCCATGCAATACTCGGAAAATACTTACCCTAAACATTTTGTTACTGTTTATATGAAATTCAGACTTAACCAGGCACTTGTATTTTATGTAGCAGCCCTAACATTGACTTGCTTTTGTACAGGATACTGTCTGCTTGAGGATAAAAGGTTCCCACCTGTCAGGGACCTTCACGGCCTCCGGCAAATAGTTACCCCTGCTGAGGCTTGTATCTGCGAATGCCAAGAAAGTGTTTTATTGGCTCCTCAAGTATGTTTTCTACACTAAGAAGTTATAATTAAGAAAAAAACTCATCTGGAAGTTTTATAAAAGCCTCCTTTAATTCAACTCAATATGCCTGTATGTATTTATGTACTTACATCTTTCCTTGTTCCAAAAAAAAAGACCTAAAATGTTTCATAAAACATAAGTGAATAAAAGGGGTAAAGGTAAAATCGGTTTAGGGAAATCAGACAGAGCCAGGAGTGAAGTTAACATACAAAACAGACACTGTCAGGCCATGGAGACCGGTCCCCTCCAGCTCTCCGCACAGCTGATGCGAACGAGCCCCTCAGCAAGCTGCCCCTTCCACCATGTTGTTCACAAAATAAAACAGACCAGCCGCTCAGGGGCCACTCCCTTCCCCTGGCTTTGACCTGAGCAAGATGCTTCTGGGGGACAGAGTATAATCCAGTGACTAATGAATGTTCTTTCTAGGATCCCTTTGTTATAAGTGAAGCAGCTGGTTTCTAAAGCCTCAGTATTTGCCAAAGGCACGATGTCTTAATGCAGTTCAGAAATGGCAATTCTTCAGAGGTCAAAAGAATGCAACCCAGTGATGGAGCTCTCTGATGACTCATCCAAATCATAGTGACACTGATGCCGCTGCGACCGCAGTGACGATCATACACTAACTCCTGCTCTGTGCCAGGCAGTTACACTTGAGCTGCACGATAATCCCGGGAGATCGGCATTATTAATGCCTGCTTTTTTTTTTAAGAAGGTGAAGAAACTGAGGGTCAAAGTTATGTACTCAGTGTCATAAACCAATAAATGGCAGAACTATGATTTGAACCCAAGCGCGTCTAATTCTAAAAGCCTGGCTCTTCCTGAGAATGAAAAAGGGTTTGACTTTTTTTTGGGGGGGTGGGGTTTAAAACTAACATTTAGTCCTCTTTTTTTCCAGTTATGAAAACAATGCCTGTTTACTTAGCAAATTTTAAAAAAATAGAAAAAGAAAGAAGAAAAAAGCCACACTTTGATTACACAAAAGAAACAAAGGTCATCTGTGGTCCCCGCCGACCCACTGCCGGGGAAGACGCGAGAGGACGAAGACCCGGGTGGCAGCGAGCAGTCGCGAGGGAAGAACGACGTTACACGTCATAAGTCCACCATTTAAAAGTACTTCCCTTCAGAATTTTTTTATTACTCACTTTATTAGTAAATTAGATTTAGAAAACCTGGATTCTGGCTGGTGCTTTGCCAAAAACTGGCCCTGGACTCTTCTTAAGTCATTTTGTCATTTTGCTGGGTTCTCCTGTGCCCCCACACCCAGGTTTTCTTTTCCTTCCCTGGAAAGTGGTTTGGACTATTCATGTTTCTCAAAGAGTTGCTCTTGGCGGGGTGTTACAGAACCAGCTAACTTGTCCCAACCGGGCTGACTGAATCAAAATCTCTAGAGGAGGGGCCTGGGAGTCTGCATTTCCCAAGATGCCCGTGCTATTGCTGCTCTAGATCTTTAGAGTGGAGAAGCTCTGAAGCCAATTGTTCCTGCTTCAATAGGCCTCAGGGTCACAAGTTTCCACGCTTAACCTTAACAGGAGGAGGAGGAGGATTCCTCCCACAAAGCAGACATTTTTTAGCGGCAAACAACCTTTCAGGTTGTTCAGTCTCAGCCCTGAGCGGGGCTCTTGGCCCCCTGCTGGCGGCCATACTTCACCTGTAGGCGCCCAGGTTGATGCAGCTTATGCCCAGATTGTATCTGGATCGGATGAAGCCGGGCTGGATCTCCAGCGCGCGCGTGTAGGCCTCCACGGCTTCCTCGCTGCGGTCTCCGTTGGCCAAGGTCGCCCCCAGACGGTTCCATAATGAATAGTCCTGATGAGGAAAGGGGAGTGCTCTAATAACCAGCACAAGCCACAACGATGGAATAGTCTCAGATTCCTCGCAGAAGGAGGACGATGGCTAAAAATTTACCCAGTGCTCACAGACAGGGGCCATGACCTGGCAAATGACTCAGGAATCTTTATGGCTACTTTGTGAAATGACTCTCATTCATCAGGGAGCAGCTACCATTTGATGCTGTCAGGCAGTTCACGTTTCTATTTTAGGTACTTAAGTATTAACAGCCACAGTAGCATCTGTTAGTACTGATCACTTTAAACCATTGGAAGCAGGGAAATAAAATGTAGCAAAAATGTACAAAGTACGTCCCGTGAATTTTTTATTTTTAAAGAAAGAACCTCACGGTTTCTTGCTGCACACTTACCTCTGGTCGAACAGTTAAGGCAGCGTTAAAAGCATCAATTGCTCTATTAAATTCCCCGCTCAGGTGGAACAGCACCCCCAGACCTGTCTGCAGATCTGGGTCGATCACATCTCCATTTTGATGGGCAGCTTCCAGATACAATTCCTTCACTCCTTCCAGAACAGAGCTACCAGGGGGGAAATTAGATTTGTGATCCAAATAGTATGAGCACAAATGATTTACTATTATGTTCTCTGTTCTGAGAAAACATGACAGAATGGAAACATTTTGCTTAAAATATCCTAGCTTAGAGAGAACGGTGAATACTGCGTGGTGAAAACAGCTGCTGGTGGTTCTAAGTATCTTGTGCACAAACAGGGTTAGGAGGGGAGAGTTCCGCCGGCCCTCTGAGTGCCTGCGGACAGCACCCTAGGGCCACGGGCCCCCAGGCCTCCGGGAGGAAGGGTTTAACATATCGTGATGAATTGCTGTTAGAAACAAAATTCCAGAAGAACGGACTTACACTTTTCCTCATACCTAATTCTCAGGCTTTATAAAACCTGGCACATTGCTACTTATTATAACTTATTTCGGGTTAATTATATGCCCACATTTGGCTTTAGAGTATGGCACTTGGATAAATGTCCGTGAGTGCCCGCAGTGTGGACCAGGTGTCCCAGAGCTGGCTCTGATCTCGGCTCAACCTCTCCGATCAGTGCTGCCCCTCTGGCAGACTGCTTCCCCGCAAGCCACCTGGCCTGGGTGGTGGCGCGGGCCTGAGGCTCGTTAATTACCGTTATGGTGATTAATTGTGTGTAAGGGTGTAATTAATGAGAAGGATACCTATCAACCGGAGACTTGGACATCCTCCGCGTGAGGCCTGGAGATCCCTTCTTGCTCTTCACAAGGTATTTGTACTTTGGATTTTGCTTAATCCAATTCTTCAGAGCTTCGCAGGCATCCTGCTGATGGCCGGTGTTAGTGTAACTCACAGCCAAAGCCATCAGAGCTTTCAAGTTATTGGGCTGCAATTCTAAGCACCTGAAAGGAGGGGGGGGGGAGCCAATTTCAGATTTGTTTTGAAGCCAGAGTCTGAACAGTTCTTTAGAAAATTTGAGGTTTTTATTAGTTAAATGGTACGAAAGCATTGCTAAGTTTATGTTAAGCCTCTGAAGAATATCACAGCGATTATCTATGTGAAAATTGGGATCTAGGAATATATTTTTTCTTTTTTATTGAATGTATTGGGGTGACATGGGTTAATAAAATTATATAGGTTTTAGGTGTGCAGTTCTACAATACAGCATCTGTATATATCTTTTGTGTTCACTGCCCCCAGTCAAGTCTCCTACCAGCCTGTGTCCCCCCATATTCTCCTCTACCTCCCCCACCCCATTCCCTCTGATAATCACCACACTGCTGTATAGACCTAATCCCTTCACCTTTCTCACCCCGTCCCCCAGCCCCCCTCCCCTCTGACAGCTGTCAGTCTGTTCTCTGTGTCTATGAGTCTATTTTGATTTTGCTTGTTTGTTTTGTTCATTAGATTCCACACACGAGTGAAATCATATTGTATTTGTCTTTCTCTCACTGGCTTATTTCGCTGAGCATAAAGCTCTCTAGGTCCATTGAGGGACCTAAGCATATTTTTAAGAAAGTTAAAACTCATCCTGATTCGAGTTAGGTTTGGTGATTTTAATAAATGATTTTAAAACTATAGAAACTATGGCTAATCCCTGCACATAATTTATCAGTAGTTAATCTAATGAGAAGTAGGGGTATCATTATTTCAATGCTGCTCTACTATCATTATATTAAATGCCCCTTATCTGCAAAGCAAACTGACTTGAATTAGATTTGGACATCCAGAGATGAAAGATTAAACAGTCTTTCGCAAAGGAGAAGAAAATCCTGTGTTTCCAGGCTATTGATGTGGGTTTACAGGAAGGCCCGGGCTACAGCTGCTCTCCCTTATGCTATTCCCCTGGCCTCTAGCAAAGGCTTTTCAAACTTTGATGTGCATGGGAATCAGCCAGGATCTGCTCAGTGCAGATCCTGACAGAGAGGGCCTGGGTGGGCCCAAGGCTGTGCAGGCCTCACAGGCTCCCAGGTGATGACCATGCTGGTAGCCCCAGGATAAGACTTTGTGCAGCAAGTCCTACGTGGCACCTATAGCAGTGCTTTAGGAAGAGGTTTATACGTAAGGAGGAGTAGAGAAAGTGGAAGCCTGTTTGGTAGGGTCTGTCCATTCCTCCTCCCCCCCCCCCGTCAGAGTTTTACTAGGGGCTCTAATCAAGTCTGGTGGGATGCCACACCCACCCAAAGTAGTCTAGGGCTTTCGTCAGGTGCGCAGGGATTACACATGCAGGTTGCTGAAACTATTTCAGGAGATGCTCTGTAGACCAGGAGCTAAAATTGCACTGAGATAATTTTGAGTATGTATTTTTTTTCTGAAGTAAACTTTCAGAAGCTTCAGATAGGAACTTAAGAGAAACTATTTATGGAATGAGTATTTCATGATTGCTTTTTAACACAAACTTCTGTGTGAACGAAGGTCAATTGATTTCTGCCAAACATTGTGGTGTAGGAACATTATGTCTTTGTAAGTTCTTATTTTTGGAGCTAAGTGTAAATTATATGTGCATCTCAGCACTTATTCTGGCCAGATTCTTTGCAATGTATTTAAAGGTCACAAGATAAATCTCCAACAAGAGGCAGTCCATTAGCAAGCGTCCACCAGTCCCGTGATTTTGCACTTAGCTTCATCTACCTCTGGAGGGCGACAATCGCTGCTTGCTCATTTTCATTCTCTGCCTGGGTTATCCCGAGGAACTGCCATGCCTACAAAAAACAACTGATGTCAGCATCGCGAGAGGAAGCAGAATCACTCCTGTGCAGTAGTGGGTGTGTTTACCTCCAACAGACCCCTCTATGCAGACCAGCCTGTTTCAGATGCGAGAGTCTCGTGTAAGGAAAAAAATATTACATTAATTTCTTCATTCAAAGTCTCTTGTGACATCTGGGTCAAGATCCTTTGTCTTAATTTACAAACTCTCAGTATTTATTGTCTCCTGTGACCCATGGAAACCTCTGAGTTTCTGAGCTAGTAGGTATCTTAAAACCATAAGATGAAAGTATGCATTTGTGAGGAAAAAAAGGTATAAAAATAGCCCCAAAATGTAGCTAAATAGTCTTAAGTTTATAATATGAAATCTCAAGATACACAAAACGAAATCAGCTTGTATAAGTGAAAGGCAGGCAGTTTTTAAAGAGGCAACAAGAAACTTAGGACCAAGGAAAACAAGACGAAAACCCGTACGGCACGTGTGCAGCTCTGACAGAGGGTTGGGCCAATCTGACATTGTCGTCAGATTTGCTGGGAGAGAGAGAGGGTGGGTGCATCCAAATTTTAGGGATTTAAAAAAGTTTGGGCAGCCCCAGCTGACTTGGCTCAGTGGATTGAGCACCAACCTGCGAATCAAAGAGTCGCTGGTTTGATTCCCAGTCAGGCACAGGCCTGGGTTGTGGGCCAGGTCCCCAGTGGGGGACACATATGAGGCAACCACATATTGATGTTTCTCTTTCTTTCTCCCTTCCTTCCCTTCTCTCTAGAAATAAATAAGTAAGTAAATAAATATCTTAAAAATAAATATGAAGGTTTGGGCAGTGCATAACTCTCCCACATTTTTAAAGCAAACTGTATGAAAATATACAGAGTCGCCTTAAAGTGCTACAAAATTGTATCAGTTTTTTCCCTTATGGGTAATTATTACAAACTCATAAAAGTACTAATTATTTCTCCCCACAGTATCAGTGATTCTTTCAAATGTGTACACAGCTGCCTCTATTTTTATTTCACCTTCTGCACATAGAATGCTTCTTTAGACTGAAGAAGCAGTCTTTCTCTGAGGGCCTCTTTCTGGGCTCTGGGTGCCACCTCACGCTCCCTCCCTGGGTCGTCCATCATCTCAGCACCGGGGTCCACACAAATTCGGCAGCCCGGGTCCAGTCTAGGAGCCAGTAGTAACCGAGTGTCCAAATTTCCTTATTTAGGAATCTGGGGTAATAACATATGCTTTTTAAAAACCTCCCAGAGTTGTTGTGTCAAATGATATAATAATACACATGAAAATACACAGCATTCAGAAATGCGAGATGACATTATTATTTGTGTGTGTGTGTGGGGGGGGGTTGCCTGTATGTTTCTGTTAATGCAGTTATTTTCTCTTCTACAGTGATGCAAGTATCTCTTTTAAAATTCTAATATTTTGGTTCAGAACTCCAGCTCTTAGTTCAATTTCATTTCATTATCAATGTTTTGACTAACTGGATACCAGCGGCTTTAGTGATCCGTTTACTTGTTCTTTCCACACAGACTAACCAATAGCAGTAATAAAGGCTAAGCATTGATGTGCCAGGCGCTCAGCTGACTCTACTTCATTTGTACGAACTAATTTAATCCTTACAAAACCCAATGAGAAAGTTATTATAATGGCGATTCCCACTTTACACGGAAGGGAACGGAGGTTGAGGGCGTTTAAACGACCTGTTCCAGATCGCACGGCCGTCGGCGGGCGAACCCCCAGCGGAGGCAACCCGCCCGGCGCGGCAGACTGGAAGTGGGCCCCCTGTTCTGGGCCGCCTTCTCGGCACCACACAGGCTCCTGCCTAAAATTTCTCTAATTCCCTGGGACTAGGCCTTATGCCTTCTGGAAATGACAAACCAGGAAAAAGACTTCAGACCCGCCACTGTCTTACGACAGGCCCTCACAGGTTCGGAAGTGCAGCGGACAAAGTCGGGGTGCAGAAGCCTCGTGGGTGGTCTCCCGGCCTTGCTTCCAATCACGCCTCAGAGGCAGGTTTTTATAACATGCTCTTTCCTGGTTCCAGCGTGAGGTTCGAACACTTGCCGACCTCCTGTTGCCTGCTGCTCTCCCCTCCCTCTTTCGCAGACCCAGTGTCTCAGCTCCCTGCTGTGTTGGATTAATCCTCTGTCCTGGAAAACTCGGCTTTGGACCCCCTTGCAGGGGGGCTGCGTCAGTGGTCTGGCTCTCCGCTCTCCTAGCCTCTTGTGCATTTGCGTGTGTTACACTGCGCTGATTTATATTCACTTGTCCCTCCACACGGACCACTAAACGTGTCTTTTCCTTGGTTCCATTTTCCAGCTGTTCAGTGTGCTGAGCCCGAGTGCGGCCCAAGTCCTGGGACGTAATATATGTTCAATAAATGTGGACTGAGTAAATCGATGGTGACATACGCTGTGGCTCGACCCAGACAAGACCGCACACTGCCCCCTGCAGGCTGCCACTGTGCTTCCAGGGAGGCAACTTTAGCTTTCCATTGCCTGTCCCCACCTTCTAGTTTTGGGGCACCACAGACAGATACTGCAGATTTGGTTAGAAAACAGGCTGTATCGCTCTAACCCAGGTTAACTCCTTTGAGAATCATTGCTTGATGAAAATGCCACTCGGTAGAGCCCCGAGAACCCCTCTGTCCCTCATTAGCACGCACAGCCACCCCCTGAGCCCGGCAGGATGAAGGGGAAAGGAAGGACACCTCTGCGTCTCCAGGGTCCTGAAGAATGGCCGCCTCCATGAACAGGATGGTGACTGGGAGGTCCCCCTCCTTCAGCCTCTTCAAACCTTCCTCAAATGCGCCGGGCCAGTCCTTGAAGGGGTTTTCGGTGTGGAAGTAATAGCCCTGCAACACAGAAGGGCCAGCGCAGGCCCACTGGCTTATTCTCACACTCAGTCGGTTCCTCTGGAATTTTAATGAAATTACTTAATTCATTTAAATTAATAGATTCATTTAATTGCAATGAAATTTCTTTTTAAATTTTTAATAAATGTTTTTATTATGGTGAAATTTTACTTTATATGCATAATGTAAAATTAACCATTTAGATTTCAATGATGGGGGGTTGGAGGTTGGGTGGAGGAGGGCAAAGGACAGGGAAATGGGGGCCATCTGTAATAGTGTCAACATTAAAAAATATTTCAGCTCCTGTTTTTCCCTTATTTTGGATGTACATTCTCATTGTATGAATTTTAGGTTTTGTTATTGAATAATACATAAAGAAACAAAAAGTTGCCCATAACGGCAGAACTTAAATATGACCACTGCTAATATTTTGGAGTGTGTTGTCTTTCTGATATTTCTTTTGTTCACTTTGTTTCGGACACTCCCTGCGGCCCCCACCCAGGACTTTAAAGACTCTGAGTTTTTGCACCCGTTTTTGCTCTGTGCTGCCCCCTGAAGCGTTACTCTATGCTCTGCACATCTATGCTCTGCTTCGGGCGGACCGTGGCCCTCTGGGGGCTACAAAGCATCGGAACAGCTAGGACTTTGTTTGCCTTCCCACTCTTCAAACCAGTGTTTACCCTGCCGGTGGCTGCATAGCCCACTGAGAAAGTGTGTTTTAAATTTATAGATCCTCTTTTTACTGTAACAATTAAAAAAATGCAGAATGTACAACTAATCTGGTATTTTTCTGTGGCTATATAAATTAAACAAATAAGCTCATACCACATGGGCAGTTTTGTAGCTTAAGCCCCACTTACTTTTAGTTATTAGAATTATTTATATTAAAATTTACTCAGCCAGACTCCTATTGATGGACTTTTAGATTACTTTAGTTTTTTTGTGTTCACAGATAAAGATACAGGGAAAGCCTCAGGCTCAAATCTTCCTTTGCATTGATTATTACCTTTGACTTCCGCAGGGGTTCGTTAGGCTAAAAGCTGTGAATTGTTGAGAGGCCCTTGACAGGTGAAGTCGAATTGTTTTTGAGAAAGTATGCACCACTTTAAACTCTCATTAGAAATACCTGAGAGACAATATTTTGCAACATGAGGTAGCACAGGTTATCATAAAAGCTTTCTAATTTGATAGATACAATTAAGCTAGTCTGTTCAGGATGCTACTTAGGTTTTAAAACAGATTGAACAGAGGCCTTCAGAAAGACAAAAGCCATATAAATTTCTGAAATGTTTGTTCTATATCTGTGAAATATGTCATGGGTACTTTAACAGGGATTGCATTGAATCTATAAATCGCTTTGGGTAGTATGGCCATTTTGGGGGTGGGGAGAAAATGCACACAATTGTAATTGAACAACAATAAAATAATTTTTTAAAAAAGACAAAAGCCCTTATCAAAAGCCATCAAGTTTATGCAGTGGGGTGTGGGTACCGGGACCTGGGACTGAGGAGCTCAGGGCCCTAGCCAGGCCTCGGGCCAAGGATGAGTTCAGAGTGTGGTGATCTCTGTCAATGTTCTTTCTTCTTACTTAGTTTTTTTCTTTTTTAAAGACAGTTATTTTTAAGGAAAAGGTTGTTCTGGCCTACCGAGGGACAAAAAATATTTTTAGGAAGAGAAAGACATTTTGATGACTATGTAGATTAAATTACCCAGAACTAAATATTATTAATAGTTCCTCCACAAAAACAATAATGTAAGCATAAACTATGTATGATACCCCCTTCCCAGTGTAGAAAATCTCCGCATCACTTTTTATTTTTCAAGTCATTTAAACTTATTTCTCAAGGTAATTTTTCCCCCAACTGTTTTTAAAAGCATAAATCCAAGGGCAACTGGGACTCCATGGGTAATTTGGCTGGTCGTTCCGTTCATTCACTCACATTAGCTAGGGCGCCTGTCAAGGAAATAGCTCTGAGGAGTCCTCTTGGGACCTGACCTGGTTGTGGGTAGGTTGTCTTTGCCGCTGAGTTTCTTTGCTGGCTGTATAACGATTGCCTGTGAAATACGGTCCTAAGCCCTGCTTCGGTCCCCTGCCCATTGATCTCCCTTCTGTTAGCTCATCAACATGACTCACCCGTCTGACAGAAAGCATTGTGGGGTTAGCCAGGGTCTTTTTCCAACCCACCCTCAAGGTCACTTAGTTTAGGTAACTTGCCAGCAGTCAGGATCCAAGCTCTGGCCAGCTGCCAAACACCCGTATTTACATGATTAGAGATAAGGGTATTCCATTCTAGCTTTGCTGCTTTCATACATTGGGTGATTATATTGTTTTCTTTTACTAGAATTTCTTCTAGGTCCTATTGCCATTAAATTGTCTGTTTGAGTCTTGGATTTTTCACAAAACAATTACCAACTAATTTATAAGCATATGATCCAATGTGGATGAGAAATGGATCAGCATGAATAAGAAGAGAATCGGTCACCTTCTCGCTAGCGGAGATGGTAACTTGGTTCTGGGCTTCTTGGTTCTCAGATATCCAGTCCCTCCGGGCCATTTCTTCCCATTCTGCTTGCATCTTATCCCAAAACTCTGTATCTGACTAAGAGACAGGAAAAAGGAAGCGAGATGGATTTAAGAGCAGGCTATATCATTTGGTTTATTTCCAGAAAGACAGTTTTCCTTACAGATCAAAGTGAGTCCCGAGGAGGAGTAAAATGCTGACCCCGGCCATCTCCGATGACGCTCATGGCTGAAGAGCTTTCAGAGAGCGCTCAGTGGTCAGAGTGTTGAACTGGGTTAACTGTACTTTCTCCAGCAGGAACATTGCTACCATGTGAAGGACCTGGATCACATATACCAAATTCAGCGAAAAAGTCCATTGCTTGAGCAATTTCAAGTGGGGGTGCCAGGCACACATTTGAGGACGGATGGCCTTTCCTGCAGTTGCTCCTGGGATCTGAGCAGGTGGAACCGCAGCTTTGGGGCTGGCTGGGTGGTGATGTGGGTGGGGGGCAGTGGGCTGTGCACAAGGGAAAGTATTATTGGTTGACCCCACTCTGTGGCAAGTGCTGTGCTGGGAGAAAACTGAGCCTTGAGGGTGATGGTCACATAGTGAGGGTCCAACAGGATCTGATCCCTGGTCTGGCTCCCAGGGCCATGCTTATCCCCTTACGACAAACTTAGCCTGCTGGTGCTAAAGAATGAAGGATCCTGGCTTTGGGTATGAACTTGACTGAGTCTTCTTCAAGGTCTTTTCTATGGCAGGGTGATTTTTATTTGAAAAGTATTGCTTGTTTCCCTTACAATTTTCTTTTATATCTTTCAAAAGGGAAACCTGGCCATTTGTTTACTTCAGAGGGGGTTTGTGTTCTGGATGGAAGAAGAATTTTTCTGCAAGATCTGTTCCACACTGGCTTCTATCTGGCTAAGCCAGAAAAGGGTGGTTTAAGTGTCCCGGGGAAAGGAAAAGCGGGGAAGTATCTTAAAGAATGGAAGAGAGGAGGGGAACTTTCTGGGGTGGAGAAAGAAGGTGGTAGGTTCTGAGGTGAGTGGGAAACTGGGGCTTAGCTGTCTGGTGTTTCTCTGGCAAATTAGACTGACCTCCCAGGGGATGACAGAGGGTGTGACTGGGGTGGGGTGGGGCTGACTTGAGCTCTGATGCTCAGGTGTCAGGGAAATAGAGAAAAACGAAATTTCAAGGCAGCACGTGGGGTTTGGTCGGCTGTTGGCAGTCAGCACCGCGAACAGCAGGGTGCAGACTTGGTCCTTGTTTTCTGGCAAAACGTAGGCTTTCCAGATCAGGTGTCCGAGACTACGTTTACCTTGCCGGTGTGGTAAGAGAGATGCTTGGAAACCACTTTATTTTCTTTAGAGAAAACAAAGAAATCGGTATTTCTCGAACACCTGAGTCTGGGGCTGACATCCATACTCTACCTGCAAATCTCGTTTCTGTGATTCTCAGTCCTGAGACTTGTTGACACACCGTCAACTTGACTTGAGGTTGCCCTCTGCCTTTTAGTCCTCCCAGCCTCACCCTCCACTGCAGCCTCGTGGCTGGTGCTGGGCGTGCTGGGGTGGGAACTCTCCTTCAGAGTTGCTTTGAATGATAAATATGACCTTATTTCTTCTGCATACAAATGTTCAGGGAATAAAGGCAGCCCAGTGTGACTAACCCTGGACTAGGAAATAAATAAAGGTCTGTTCTCTTCCTTTGCTATATCCAGGGTACCCATTCCTACCACTGACGTGGGTCCTGTCACTTCAGCAGGGGCCTCCCCTGGATGAAGGCCACCACGTATCCAGGCTAACATTAGTAACAAAATTCAAAATTTCTTTTTCAATGAGTCTTTCTAGTAGAATATCAAACTAGACAGACCGTGGGATCTCAGGTACACGCAGCGATGGCTGGCTGAAAGGCTAGGAAGAATCTGCCGTCACGTTAAGAGTAATCTCTTTGAATGAAGGGATGATGGGTGGTGTTTTTCGTGCTTCTTTACAATTTTCTGTACTTCCTGAATTTTCTGATTTTGCATTGATTTTATAATAATAAAGGTTAAAGGCAAGAGTAAAAAAATAAATTAGCTTTCCTTGGTAAGTACCGTGAAACCTGAACATTTAGATACTGAGGCATTTAGAGACTGTTCTTGGAGACTCATTGTCTTGACTAGCATTTCAAAGACACAGGTTCAAGTTGCCTTCACAGATGCCAAGACAAATATGTCAAGTGAATTTTACAATGTTTGCTGACTTCCCCCCCCCATAGGTAATGTGAAATGCTGATGACTTTCAGTACTTTGTAAGGCAGTGCGAGTCCCTAAAATTTAAAGCTATGACAACTCTTCTGAATGAAAGAATGAGAAGGGTTTTATAACGTGTACATCTTGGTTACAAAAGGATGCATCCCCTTTCCTGTGGTTTCAAGGTAGAGCAGTAGATGCTTAAACAAGACTGCTGGGGAAAACGGCCAAGCCGCAGCTGAGGGGGGCTGTGAGGCTCTCTTTGGATGAGATTCTCCCGGAATTACCACCACCACCTAGCATAAGTTCTGACTAATTAAACTGCACAGCACAGCTTCATTTAATTACAGAAGACTACTTTTAGCACAATCAATTTTCACCCCATCTCGAAATCCAGACTTCATTCATGTAACTGCAATTAACACTGCTTCTTTTTTAAATTTTTAATCAATTTCAGAGAAACCTGAGACATATTTGAATTTAAACATTTTAGACAGGACAGAGAGGATTTGACATATCGATGATTTTCTTAGTTGTTCTGAGATTTTGGTAGATTGTTTTTTATATTCTACAGGCTAGTGATCTGCTTATACCAGAAATGATGTATTGTTTGCAAACTATTTTCATTTTTAAAAATAGCTTTCTGGCTATCATAATGGTAGGTAGTCATTAAAAAAGGACTTGGGATACGCAGTACGATGGTTTAGAACAGCAGCTTTCTCCTCAGATGAACCTGGGAACAAATTCTGGCGCCTTCACTGACCTTCTGCAAGTACCTTCCCTCTCTGGGGCGCATTTCCCTTATCTTTGAGATGAAGATCTACGACTGTGACCTTGGTTGGTCATTAAAAGGGCTACATAAGGAAATGTATCTGTGGCATAAAGCACATGATATGTACTCAATAAAAGTAGCTGTACTCAGTGTTTTGGCAGCATTGGAAAATATAAAAAATGACCAAAAATCACCCACCACCTCAAAGTTCAAATACATATCAGTGAATACTTGGTGTTTTAATTTGCGGTAAATACATGTTCCTCTTCCAGATAGCTTTCTTTTTGCCATCTAAATCTTTCCCTTCTAACTAATTGTTCAAAAATAGGAAAGTTAAGAATATTATAGCAAAAATGGAATTTACAAAGAGTTCATTGCAACATGGAATAGCCCTTGGGTTATGATGTTTCTTCATATGACAGAAAACAGCAAAGAATGTGCTGGGGAAGCACCAGTAGCAGCACTTCCGGGGGGTGAGACCACGAGTGATTTGCCCCAACACCTTTCCTTGTGCTTTTCAGCATTTCCCAAGTTTCCTGTTACTAGCATGTGTTCTTTTGGAGAAAAAGTAAGATTTGGTTTAAAAATGCTGACTTCTTTTCAGTTTTACTTTCTCCAGAGATCCCACACTGGAGCAATTTCTTGCCTCTCTGCATCCCTTCAACACAGATATTCTGCGTTAGTGGTTTGGAACAGGAGAGGGGCGTGCTGGCAAGTGCCACTACCCTGTGAGCTGAGCAAGTCGTCGGAACCCCTTTGTACATTATTCTTCCTTATTTGTAAAGTGGGAAGACTGGGTTTGTTAGACAAATAGCTCAGACTTCTTCATCTATGCAGATCGATTCAGAAGATCAGAAAAGGGGGAAAGGAAGCCTGTTCACTGATGTCCAAAAATTATACTTCAAAGCACTTTCCCCAAATTACATTTGACATTTTCCCTTCACTTTTTGATGGTAAAACTAGCAAATGAAAAATTTTATAAAAACCATGACAATAAAATTAATTATATTAAACTATAATAAGAAAATCAGTAATTTAAACTAGAACCAGGAAAATTTCAGGATAGCAACATACTGTCAGTTCCCACTTACCAGTCTATTTTGGTCATCCTTGAGTTAAAGTTTTGACTTTGTAATCAGACATAACTATTGGTTAGAAAGACCCTGGGGTTACGTTGTGAAAGAACTGATGGCTGTGAGACTATAATCCAACTGGCCCATTAGGAGTCTGGCTTTCTACTTGCCTCTTTAGATATCCATTGATTAACTGTGGCTGGACCAACACTTTAAAAACAACCAACCCTCCTGTTCTGTACATTCTATACACACACTTGCATGGTGAGAGATGAAAAGCCACTGTGCAAGCCTGGGTAAACTGTTTGTCACCACAAACACATTTTGTGGAAGGGAAATTACGTGCAGTCAGCCTGGGGCCTCATCGCCCTAAGATCCAGTAGCCCAGGCCGGTGAAGAGTGGCTGAGCCGTCCCCACTCGCCACATGTGTGGTTGACTAGGAGCTCAGCATTAGTTGAGGATTCCAGTGCCCAGAGGACATATTCAACCTGTGGCTGCAGTTGTGGACGTGCAGCACCCTGATCGAGGCCGGCAGAGAATTTGGATTGGTCGGAATTAGTCTGAGCTCTAGATGCAGTCCTGGGTGTCCCATGGCATGAGGGGTCATTGACAAAGGAGTCGACACGGGCAAGAGTGAAAGTGCAAGAGCCACCCTGTTTATGTAGCAATTCACCAGCATAGGTGGGAGGGGTGGGGCGGGCTGAGAAAGCTGGCTTAGCCTTGCTGAGCAGAGAAGACCACCAAGATGAGTGCATCTGGCAGTTCCAGGGGGGCAACCTTCTATCAAACACGTCATGAAGCTGCCTAAAAATGGAACAGGCTGCTTCCTCCACAGAAGGATGTGTTCTCCAACATTAGAAGTCTTCAAACATAGACAGAATGACGCATGTCAGGAGTGCTGTAAAGATGATTCAGAGATCAGATGGAGCTTTGACCCAATAAATTCTTCAGTCTCTTACAACCCCGAGTGAGGGTCTCTGGTGTAACACCATTAATGAGTGGATTTATTGAGTGAAACAAATATAAGCTCAAAGTGAATAAAATCTCAATGAGATGAGAAATGGGTCTGTCCTTCATGCTCCTTTCTCAGTCTGAACAGAATGGGGAGGAAAACCCATGGGCTCTGGCATCGGGCAGAACAGTGTGGCTCCCAGCCATGCCCCTCACATGTGACCTCTTAAATTTAGTTTCCTCACCTGTAAAATGTAAAAAGTCTCCGAGGGTGGTTGTGCACATTACGTGGAACAATGTATGCAAAGTGCTTAGAACTTGTAACATTGAGAGCTCAGGAATTGGCAGTTAATGCTACTTTATATTTGCAAATGAAGAGGAATGTCTCCCAGGATAGTGAGAAGATGAAATCTGACAAACTGTAAACTGTGGTTCAGAAGTGTTGAAAAACAAACAAAAAAAAATTGGTACTAGCACTGAATACAGATTTTCCAGTTGCCTCTGGGGTAGACATGCTTCCTCGTTTAAGGGAGCCGACCATCACTGCAGATGTCGCAGGCATCTGGGCAAATAGCCTGAGGCTCTCACCAAACGACGAGCCAGCAGATCAGCTGCAGAAACGTGGAGCAGAAAAATCGGAAATGATGAGCAGGAGAAAAAAGGGCACAGGAGGCTGGCAATAATGCCACACAAGGCTTGAGCAGGATGTCAGGAGGCAACCAAGAGCTGTTTCTAACAGGGGATCTGAGAGACTTTTCTGTTCTTTCTATTCTTCCTCTTCTGGGGAGGGGTAAAGAGAAATGGAGTATTAAAGCACAGTGAGCAAAACCCATTGTCCAAAAGGGCAGGTGTCATTAGCCTGTTTGTTAGCAAACAAATGCCTTTCCAGAAGCCGAGTTGCAAGTGATTGTATCTATGTTTGTGGTTCCAGCAGGTGTTTGTATTCACAACAAAGAACTGCCCTTAAGGTGCACTGGAAACCACAGGTTTGGAGACCAAGCCTGGCTTTGCTGCCACTTAGGGAGTAAGGTTTTGTGGGGTCAGCATCTGAGAGGCTGTTGATTTCTCCCAGGCCTCCTGGCTGCTCTCTGAGCAACTGGCAGCATGTTTTAGTGAGGAAATTGTCGGGGGTCCTGGGGTGTGAGCCTTGTCTCCTGTTCCACGTGACAGTAAGTCACGCGATAAAGGACTGGCCCGTGGACTGTGAGCTGCCAACAGTGTGACTCGGTTCCAGAGGGGGTTTCTTCTCCTTTAGCCACGTCTACAGGTAGGGAGAAGCTGCTGGGAAACTCTCCCATAGTTTTAAAAAGTAAACTATTAGAAGTATTCCTTAAACCTAAACTATGTGTTTACGCTTTGCCTTACAGGACTGTTAACAAACAAAACAAAACACCTAGATGTGGATGCTGCTCTCAAGAAGCTCACTGTCCAGTGATAACATAAAAACAGAGGCGACTGTGATTCAGGGTAGGGTGAACGAACAGTGCAAAGAGAAATAAAGTTACTTGCTCAGAGTCACACTAGTCTGGTAAGTAACAGGACCAGAATTCAAGATGTTGCATTCTTTCCTTTCGCGGCAGACTGCAGATTCCACAATGGCCACCCCCCTGCGGAGCCCTGTGGGTGCATGAGCCTGAGAAACATCGTGTTAAACCTAGAGGCCAGATCTAGCCCAGAAACATTTTTCCTCCTAATCCTAGGTAGGAAATTTCACATCAAACCCTGGATTTCAGAACCTTCACGATGGGCTGTTAACACTAGACCCATAGAAGGAGCCACTCCCGGTGGTCCGTGTGGTTTTCCACGTTGCCGTAGTCACTACCACAGCATCACCTTCATCTGCCTGGCTCCCTGGAGGAGCTGAGCTGTCCCTTCTGGACAAAAAAGAACAGGTTCTTTGCTGTGTGACTTCCCAGTATCTTCAAATGCTAATATACATGTTAAATATCTAAGAGGTGGATGACCTTGTGTGTGTGTGTGTGTGTGTGTGTGAGAGAGAGAGAGAGAGAGAGAGAGAGAGAGAGAGAGAGAGAGAGAGAGAGGTTTAGGGTCCTCCAGGACACAGCCTGTAAACTGCTGAGCTTGAGTCCCACCTAGCACATCAGCATCCAAAGTTCCACAAAAACAGAGACTGCCGGCAGGATAAATTTGGTGTATCCTGCGAAACTGTGAGAAATAGGAATTTACCACATAGTTTGTTTTGATATGATTGTTTCCAGTGAGACTGATCTCCAATCAGCCAGCAGGTTCCCTAACCCTCACATCCTCTGCGTGAATCAGAATTCGTCAAGACTTTGTTGTTGTCATTGTTCCAGAAAAGGAAGTGAAACCTAGTACGTGGAGGGGAGAGTTAAAATAATTTCTGTATGTTTTTGGGAAGACAACTCATTTGATGTGTTTATCTTTTTAATAGTAGCTAGCCTTTGAAACTACATATGATAATGTATACAGATTGGACAAAGACTGGATGAAACATGAGAAAATGAAAACAGTTAATTTATTAGTGTATTGGGATTTCTGGGTAGTTCCTAACCTTTCTTCCTCCAACCTCTTGATTTCCCTTATTGTTGTTGCTTTTAAAATAACCTAAGAGCGACTATTGATAAAAATTTATTATTTTTTGGTGACCAACTTTTAAGTTCTATAATTGTTTTAGGGCCCGAAAAACACGCAAACATTCTTTATATTGGGAATAGTGATTAAGGGCAGGAGTTTGGGAGCTAGACAGGTCGGAATTCCAGCTCCATCAGTGAACCGCAGTGTAACCTCGCACAAGTTACTGAATCTATGTTCCAGTTTTCTCACGTTAAAATAGGACATGGCTGCTGTAAAGCACCGGGCTACCCACCGGGGGTAGCGTGTACAGCTATGACTAAAACAAGCTTAGGCTGTCAAACAAGTTTAGGATGTCTGTGCATGTAAACAGGCTCCCTGCTCCTCCCCTTTCCTCTGTTGCAGGACAAGGCTGCCAGAGAGATTGGCTTAGAGGCAGTTTCCTTTCCAACATCATTCCTGGCAATAAAGAATTTTACCTTCTATCTAAATGCCATGTTCACACTATCTTCCACTGTGGAAATATTGCCCCCTCTACCATCTTTTAGGGTTATTTGTGGGAAAAAACGGGCCAGTCATTTTGATGGACAACTTAGATTGAAAAATCACTCACATTGTTTTGAACATACTGAACTGGTATTTTGACTTTCTCCCCTTTTCTTTTTGACTACGTGATTGTCACCGCAGTGGGCCAGATGTGAAGACAGAGCCTCAGTCCAGTTTGTTATGAAGGTGTTGGGAAAGAAAGTGCCATAAGCCACTTTCGTGGACACTGAAATCAACCAGCTGACTCAAGGGCATAGCAAGGACTCTGAAAAGCTACCAGGAGCCCCCTCGACTTGGACCAGGGTCATGGTATCACGGGGAGAGGAGGCTGTGTTTGTGCTACATGGAGCTACTTCTCGTTGTTCAGAACTAACTACTGTGGAGCTAGGTAGTTTCTGTTGCACCCACCAATGCCTTAAAAAGATTCCAGATGGTCAAAATTATCACACGTTCTCCTTGTGTATTGATTTATTGGCCTGTGAGGATTAATTTGGTTAGAAGTCGGGAAATATTTTCTCTGCCAAGGATGCTGGGCATTGCATCCAGCTTTTTGGCAGCAACTGACTCATACCCAGCATCAAAACACAGAAAAGAAGCCCCATGAAATGCCAGGTCTGTGATTCCTTGGTCCGGGAGAAAATCAGCCATCATAACACTCTTTTCTACAGAACCTAACAAACAATGGAGAGGAGTTATGGGTGGACTGACATTCCTCTATTTTCACTGACGGTATTAGGCTGTACTGGCAAGATTTGCTGGATTTTAACGAATGATATATCCCTGCAGTAGTCTCAGGAGCTACAGTGTAATTCGGAACACATTTCGAAGGGCCAGGCATACCTTGTTTTTAAAAGAAATGCTTAGATGTACAAGATAGTAGTGCTTTTCTAATGTCTATTAAATGGATTTTTTCATACATAACATTTTTATTGATGTGATTTATTATATATACTTACACATTTAATTCATTCATTTAGCCAAATTATTGACAAGGCTACTATGTAGCAGGCAATGTCCTAGTTCCCTGAGTATAGTAATGAACAAGACCTATGCTAATCCTGCTGCTGGAGTGTGCGGTCTGGTGGGGCAGAGACAAACAATACAGTATTGTAAGCTCGGGGAGACAAGGTAGTCGAGTAGCAAGGAGGAGAGAAACCCAACTTAGACTTAGGAGTTCAGGGATTCTCCCAGAAGCAATGTAAGCCAACTGAGACTCTAAGAGTGAACAGAAGTTAGCCAGGTAATGGGGTGATGGAGAACATTTCTGATAGGAGGAAAAACATGTGCAAAAGCTAAGAGAAAGATTATATGGCCTCTTCCAGGGACTGAAGATTTATGATGATGCCAGCATAGACAAGAGGATGTAGAAGCAAGAATGGTCCGTATCGTGGAGAACCTTATATAGCTAGGTCAACGGGTTTGGACTCTAAGGACAAGTGGAGAGTCATTATGCAGATCTGTGTTTTAGAATTCTCTCTGGCTGAAGTGAAGAGAATGGACTAAGTGGAGCCTTCCGTTGTGCACTTAGGAGGCAGTGAGAGCAGTTGCAACGCTGTTATAGTTGTCCCTGTAAGACACACCAGAGTAGGACATTGGCAGTGGAGATGGAGAAAAATGGGTGGATTTGAGAGATATGTAGTAGAATGAATAGGACTGGTGTTTCATTAGATGTTAGGGGAGAGATAAATGTTGGAGGGTGGGAAGGAGACAGAAACTGGGGGTGTCGAGGAGAGAGAGGGGAAACTTTTTCTCGGAGGATCCCATTCCCTGAGTCAAAGAGCAGAAAAGGTAACACAGGGTTACAGTGAAGAGCTCAGATCTGGGTAAGTTCAGCGTGAGGTGCCTTTGGAACGCCGGAGCAGAGATGTTGAGAAGGCTGTGTGCCATGTGGCTTTGGTCTCGGGAGGAAGTCAGAGCCAGAGATCTGGATCTTGGCGTCACCGGCATGTGAATGTTGATGGGCATCACACAAGGGGATGTGTTCAACCGGTGAGATTGTGTTAGGATCAGAGAGCAGGCTGCAGGGCTTGCACTCCCTGGAACAAGGAATAGGCAGAGCAGGAAGAACCTACTCCAGAGGGAGGAGGATTGTGGGGTGGGAAAGTCCAACAGAAGAGAATCCTTAAGTGGAGGAAGTGTCTAACAGTGCCCAACGCTCCCCAGAGCTTTAGCTGAGCTCGGGTGTACCTGGGAGTGTGACTACCAGTGAATAAGTGATGCTTTCGTCCGAGCAATGTCTGTGGAATGAGTGCAAGCCAGATCACCCCGGACTGAAGGCAAATGAAAAGACACACGTTGTCATACATTGTTCTAACAGTAAATAAAACCATCTTTGGAGTGTGTTTGGAGTTATCAAAAGTGTGAAATAGCTGAAAAACCCTGATCTTCATTTAACCAGCTTTCCCCATCTTCAATTTTATACATTAATAACTACCTACCCCTCCCTCCACCCCCATCCATCTTCTTATCTATCTAACTAATCCTTAACTGTTAAACCAGATGCCACATTTGAACCATGGCCAAGACTAAGGATAAAAATGGGGTAGAGAAAGGAACAGCTATGTTTTCTTTCTTTTTTTTTGTTCTCATAGAATCTGAGCATCACAACAGGAAGTAAGAAGCGGTAGGAACATATGGTTCCCTCCCTCCCTATGGGGATGAGTGGTGTGGGGGGCAGGAGAGAGATGAATTAGAGGCTATTGCAGTAATCTGGGATGAGACTAGGGGGATTGCAACAGGGGAAGAGCTAATCAGAGATTTTCTAAGTGAACAAGTAAGAGGATTTAGTGATAAAACTGCATTGCTTCCTACAAAGAGCAACAAGGTTGTCACCTTGAATGTATCTAATTTTTAAAGAGCTTTCAAGTGTATTAACTCATTTGACCTTCAGAAATGATTTGCTCAATGCCCCTAGCTAGTTAATAACTGAACCAGGGCCAGACCCGTGTCTCACAATTCCTGTTCTGTACCCTCTTCACAGCTGTGCCCTCGTGTCCCTCCTCCTGCCCTGCAGTGCTAGCCCGTCCCCAGTGTGTAGGGTCAGTCAGTGTTGTTGCTCGGCAAACAGCATCCTGGCTGGAGGAAAGAGCAGAGCAGAGCCCTTCTGCTTGTCTCTTGTCACTTAATTTTCTGAGACAAACCAAGTTCATTCTGTTTAGAACTACAAGGTCACAGATTTTGGACTCAGCTTCTTTTCTATCAGGAATGAAGGAAACTACAATAGAATGTTAAAACAGAACTTTTTTAGCCTAAGTTCTGGCTATGATTCCAAAAATATATATAATGAAACAATTGGTGCCTATTACCTCTGTAGGATTTACAAAAGGAATGGTTTTATATACATTAAATACATACATACACACACATGTGATATATATGTATATATGGGGGATAGATGAGATAGATATAAATGACATCATCTATCTATCTATCTATCTATCTATCTATCTATCTATCTATCTATCTATCTATATCATGTGTCCCCCAACATTTAGCTTATGGTTCTTATAAAACAGCTAACATTGAAGGGAGTGGGGGAGCGCATTTCCATGAAGTGAATGGTCAGGGAGGGCTGTTTCTCACGACCAGGTTTAGGCCACGAAGGGACACGCCATCCTGGAGCTGTGGTGAATTCCAAGAGGACTTCCTGGAAGGGTGAGGATGGTGACCTTCTCAGTGGAACTGCAGATGGCTGTTCCCAGTAGGAGTCTCTGAGAGATCCACAAAAGCAGAACATGAGAGAATGTACTTGCGTGAAACATCCACTGATCCCAGAGAACACCTAGGCCAGGCCATGGGGTACCTGCCACGTGAGGCTGGACCCCTTCCCCTACTCCTCACTGTTCTGGTCCCACCCTGGAGGACTCAGAGACTGACAAGTGAGTGGAGGGGGGAAAAAGCAAAGCCAACAGACAGAAGGTTCCCCTGGCGGCTTCCCCACTACAGAGGATCAGGCCCAAGGTCACTCCTGGTTTGGGGAGGCAAGAAGCTCTAAATTGTGAACATGGGAAGGAGTCATTTAACTATTACAGAGGAATTCATGTCTTAGTTATTGACACAGCGTTGTTGGAGATCAAAAGAATCTGGAGGATTTCTCATTATCTTAGAGTGATTAGAAAGCTACGGGACTTTTATGGACTGAATTACGTTTCTTTAAAAGATACCATGAAGTCCCCAACTCTGGTATCTGTGAAAGTGATGTTGAAAAATAGAGTCTTTGCAGATGTAATCAAGTTCAGACGAGGTTCTTACGGTGGACCCTGGTGTCCTTAGAAGAAGAAGGGAGTTTGGACACAGACACAGAGGAAGACAGGCCGAGTGAAGGTGGGAGAGAGATCGGAGGGATCAGCTGCTGGAAGCTGGAAGAAGCAAGGAAAGACCCGACTCTAGGGCTCCGGGGAGAGCCTGGCCCTGCCTGCACCTTAATTTCACACTTCCGGCCTCCAGACTGTGAGACAGGATGTTTCTTTTGTTTTTAGCCACCTGTTTTGTGGTGTTTTTGTTACAACAGCCATGGGGAAATTAACATAAACGCCCAACCTGTGATTTCAGTCAGAGGTTGGGATAATCCTAGCTCACAAATGGGGTTTGAATGGAAGTAGACAATAAAGTAAAGCTTTTTTTTGACTTTTACCCTATCGAGTTCTGCTCACTAAACACAGTGACGGCCACGAATCCTAGCGCACGACACGTGCTCCACAAATACCTGTTGTGACCCATGGTTCCCCGAGCTGACAGAGAGGTGCTGCTTCTTGCACTCTTTCCCTTGACTCGTCAAAGGAGCTTCCGGGCATCATTTTCGTTTTACAAATGAGGAAGCTGAGGTCACAGAGATTAAATACCTTGCCAATGGAAAATGGCTCACAGGGCAAAACCTGAGATTTAGATCTAGGTCTTCCTGATGCCACTCTGTGCTTTTCCACTCCATTGTCATCAAATTAGTCCAAAGAAATTGGGTAGATACTCAATGGCTTGTGTCCTCTTGGTTCAGAGAACGATGCCTCATATGAAATGATTTTGTGGAATCTGACTGCAGGGATATATTTTCTTGGTGATTTTGGTTCTTAAAAAGACCAAGTCAACAGTCTTGGTCTATAGAAAAACAGGCGGAGAGTAGGTTGTATTACTTAAATTTAATATGTATTGAACTTTTAATTCTAGGCCAACGTTTTTGAACTAGTAAGCTAAAACAGACAGTTCTTGACCTCAGGGACTGCACAGTCACCAGGAAGGAATTCTTCGGGGGGTGTTGAAAATATTTTAAGGAGATGTCAGAAGATATGGGTGCTTGTCCTGGTGTTACCACTGCTTAGCTGTGTGGTCTCAGACAGGCCAAATAACCTTTTTCATTACCAAATTTTCAGGAAGTTTTTCTGTAAACTGTGAAAAGTTAGAGTCAGGCGACATTATTATTAATTATTATTATTATTGAAATATTTTGTAACCACCTTTCTTATCTGATTTAAATGTCTGAAGAAATGCTATACAATATATCAGCCAGTAATAGATGCTGTTAAATATTCAGGCACAAACAACCTTATTTACGTGCTGTCAAGACAAAACTGCATTAGGGACTGTTTTTTTCATGGAGACAGATCTTCTGATTTATTTTTTTAAAGGATATTTAGAATCTGAAAAACATTGCTGACTCAAGAGAAATACAACGATCAATTGCTGCACCTAAGCTATGCTGCCATAATGCTTAAATAATGAAAAGATTGTCTTCAGAGATAATTGTAGCCCCACATTTTAACTAAGTATTTAATGACAGTAAACTATAAACAGGCTCTGTTTTCATATGGGGAATCCACAGAGCCTATTAACTG